AGAAAGCTCATGAATATTTGCTATGGGGACAATTCACAAAAGATTCGAAGGGAATTGAATTTAATTTCTTTAATGATGGGTAAGACAAGGATTATAAACATCAACCGTATAAGTATCACTGCAAATTAATCGACTTGCTCTTGTAGACTACATAAGGCGAGGAGAGTTACAAATTGAATACTCCAAAATTAAAGCAGATATTTTCTTTGGGGTATTTGGTTAATTTGGTTGCTGAAGAGAATGATGAGTTCATTGAAGGCTACTATCCAAATGGAACTAAGGATGCAAACCAATTGAAAGTGAAGGTTATTCTCTTCATCAATTGGATTTATATCTAAAATAGTTTGACCTAATAGGAGGTGATGATTAAGGAGCAAGCGAACTTTAATAAGTTATTCAACAAGGAGAAGGAGAGATTGTTAAAGTTAAGTTCATATCCAAATAGAGACGAATATCTGAAATACTTTTTTGATCATTTGGTACCTCTATTTGAAAACTTTGTGAATAAAATATATGCTCAAGAGAAAGCATAGAGAGATGACAATTACGAGTAATAATCATTTTTATTAATTTAGTGTGCTAAAGGAGATATTGGAAACAATTGCCATGATGTCAGATGGAATTTTATGTCAATATCTGACGAAAAACCAATACAATGCATTGTATAGATTGTATAAACCATTTGAAGAGAACACAAATAGACTATAAATGAATTTCTCTTCAGCCATCAAAGATTAGAATGATGGCCTGTCGAGCAACAAAAAATCTGTGTATGAACCTCCTCCTCCTGAGTTTATGAAGTCTTCTTTAAAGAAGAATTAAGTGATGACAATCTTCAATAAAAAGGAGAAATCCTTTTTAACTGAACAATTTAAGACGCCCAATTCTAATGATAAGTCTAAAATGTCGAGAAATAAATTCTCGTAAACCTCGTAGTAATTATGGGTTAATAGACCCAATTGGTTCTAATTTTTGGATATGTGTGAATAGAGTTAAGTGTTGTAGGATAAGATTAAGGAGGAACTGCATACTTTGGCTAGTGCAATATTCCACATAGACAAACTTGTATCTGATAAGATGAATACGAGTTAAAGCAATTCGGTGAATCTTGATTTTAAGGGGTTCTTAAAGAAATACATCAGATTCGTGGAATAAGGGATAATCAATAAGGCTGGGAAAAAGAATCTCATTTATTCATTATAACTGTTGGAGGAATTACTGACTATTAACGATTTGGAAGAGATGCAAAATCTCTTTGATCAATAGAATGCGACGAGAATGATATTGAATATAATCGCAGACTATAAAATTTATCCCTTCGACGATGATTTCTTCAACTAACTATTAAGTTTTGGGTGTAAGCTTCTCGAAGGAGGTAATCCAAAAGTGCAAAAGACAATTTTCAACTATTTTTCAACTTATAGTAGATCTGAGAACATTTTTAGCAAATTGAACATGGTCATCAATGACCATATTGAAGAATTGAATATTAAGTACAAGATATAGAATGAGATGCAGAAGGAAGAAAAATAGCAGCAAATATTGCAATTAGACACTGAACCCCAAGTGCCCTAAGATTAAGTCAATGATCACACTTAAGAAATGCAGTTTAAACAAAAACTGCGTGAGTCCTTGTTGATTAATGTGCTTAGATTTGTGTAGTTATTTTGCGAGGGTCACAACTTGGATTTATAGAATTATATAAGATAGTAATTTAATTCAAGAAACAATTACAATCTAGTATCTAGTATTATTGAATTACTTTACATGTATCATTTAGAGTTGACAAATGAAAATTATGAGAACATCTTGAGGTGCCTAGACACTTTGACAGAGTTTGTTTAAGGACCTTGCTGTTAAAATTAGTAGACAATAATTGATAGCAAATTCCTTGAAGTTGCCAATTCCTTATTGGCCACCCAAGCATCGAAAACCAAGTCCAAAGAGCACAGTTCGAAATCATTCTTTAGTTAGGATGAACAGAGCAATTAAAAGAATAGTTCTTCAAATTTGTCTGTAGGTAAAATAAAGTCTGGCAAATCATTTAAGAACAACCGAATCAATATAAAAAAATATATGTTAGAGAGGATTAAATACAAAGTGATGGTATTGGTCACGAGTTTATTGGAATTAAATTCTGACAGTTTGGCAATCAAGAGAATTATGAGATCTTTACCTATAGAAATACTAAAGAAGAATTTAACCCAAATTTATAAGAAACACAAAAAACTTTATGGGCCAACGTACACTCAAGATGCCTTGAAACATGTAATGAAAGTATAGTATTAATTTAGATTGATGAAGATCCAGAAGGCAACACTGAAAAGCCTGAATTTCACGAAGCCATCCTAGAAACAGGGTTTTATATATATTTCTTAATTTTATATTATTACGAATTAGATACTCAAGAGATTGATTAGGAGACATCTACAGAATTGCAGAAGGCCAAAAACAGTTTGTTCAACAAAAACCTATTTATGGATTCATTGATTGGGCAGTTGTTTACTTTTGCCTTTGCCATCATCGGAGGTGTGTTAACAACCATAAGTCAAGCCAAAAATTACTTGTAGAAGGCTGTTGAGAGAATTGGCCAAAAAATAGATTCAACTGAAATAGATAAGAAAAACTAGAAGCAAAAAGAAATTAATCAAGAGATATTCAGAGAGACCATCCAATTCTTTGCTTATAATTCAGCTCATGTTGAAGTGGTCAGAAACAATTAGATTGAAAGAATCCAGTTCTACAAACCTCCGTATTGTAAATATCTTCCAAAAGAACGGAAGAAGGAGTTCCATGAGACAGTGAACAGAGATTCAACTAATTCCAAAATATCAGATTTGATAGAATAAACAGATAGTATTATTGAAGTTTGCAAACATGAAGAGAAGCTAGCTGTCTTCTTTAGTAAGAACAAATTTATAGCAATATTTGCTAATTACGTTATTTTATGGAAGGATTTGGCATTTATCCTAACATTGCTATTAAATTTATTCATCATTTTGTCGTATGCTGATAATGAGAAAACGGGATAGCAAACAGGAGATGAGGTTGAAAGCATTTAAACAATTAGAAAGAATAGAATTAGCAATCCAATATTGCTGAATTCTAATCTTACTGTGGATGAAACAGAATCATTGTTTTTCATCTGTGGTATAATAATGATTGTATGCTCTACATTTGTGGTGCTCTTCTTTTTATTGAAGAAGGCTCCACTCTACATTAAAGAATCATATAAGAAATAAGATTTGAGTGAATACGGAGTTCTGATCAATTCTTTGTTTTAGATTTTTAATTTTAGTTATAGCATCGCAAGAGTGCTTCTGAACATCGAGATCCTTTATTACTTGTCATATGGAACCCTAGCATTTTTAGCCACCTTTTATCATCCATTTTTCTTTGCCTTCCACCTTACAGAAATTGTAATTCGATTCCCTCAATTACGTAACATTATTAAAAGCTTTTGGGAACCAAAATTATCACTATTACTCACATTTATTCTAATCATCTTATTTAATTACTTCTTCACTTTATTTGCCTACATATTCTTCTATGATGATTACTCAGGAAAGTGTGAGAGCTTGTTATATTGCTTTTTGGAAACCTTTGACAAGGCATTCAAGAACAATGGAGGTATAGGTGGATGGTTGGATTCTAATTAACCACAGGATCCAGGAGATTACAATTACGGTAGATTCTTTTTTGATAATCTCTACAACATAGTGATTGTGATCATCATGATTCAGATATTCTCAGGAATCATTATTGATACCTTCTCATCTTTGAGAGAGAAATAGATGCAAAGAGATTAAGACATTTAAGAAACCTGCTTTATCTGTGGATTCAGTAGGTAAATTATTCCTTTTTATTCCTTATAGAGAGCTATTTGATAGAAAATCTGAAGCTGGCTTTAAATTGCACACACAATATGAGCATTACATGTGGAATTACGTATTCTATATCTCGTATTTGAAAGAGAAAGAACCTACTGAGTATACAGGAATTGAATCTTATATTGCGAATAAACTGAAAAATTATGATAATTCCTGGATTCCGATAAACAAGGCAATGGTATTGAAGAATATGGTTTTGGAATCTCAGCATTATGAAACAGAGAAATTGTAAGATATCCAAAGAGAAATGGACTACATCAAGAAAACGTCTTTTGAGATTTATAAAGAAATGGAAGAATTAAACATTCAATTTTTAAATAAGTAATTACTAAATCAAGAGAAATGATCAAATTGATGTTTTATTCTTCATAATTTATATCATATATATATTTATATTTTATAAACAATGAGACCATAAACATCTGAAACCTTTGTTCGTGAGTTCCTGGATGTTCAAATGAGACCTAAAACTGCTGAATTGATGACTTCAACCTAATTAAGGAACTTAAGTGCGAAAAACATCGAAACCTAATTTTGAAATTACCACCAAGCCATAAGTTGAAATCTAGTATTAGAAGTTCATTCTGAGGAATTTCGGAGTGCTTTGTGATTAGTATAATCGGTAGTTCTATAATATAGAGGCTATCATGAAAGCAATAAATAAATATAGCTGTGAAAGTTTGGAAGATCTTAAAATAATGGTACAACTTAAAAGACCAAAATCGCTCTAAATAGTCAATAATAACAATAAACTAAGAAACCCAAGTATACAAATTAATTGAAATTGACTCAAGATAAAGATAAGATCCAGAAACCATCACGGAGAGAGAAAAAGAATTGAAATACAAGAGACAACTATTGTAGATTATTAATGACGATGTATAGCCTCTCAGAGATACACACAAAACATTTAATAAAGGCAATCATGTTATTATTGTTAAATTGATGTAAAATCATCCTCTTATTCATTGACCAATGATCATCAGAAAGAGGAAGGTCAAGAAGGAACACCACCCTTTGATCTTAAATTGAAATCAAATTAAAAAACTGCTATTGGTGAAGGATTGACAAATTATCCTATTGAAAGTATATCTTGTGGTCTATTTAGATATGACCTATCAAAACAAAAAAATCTAATTGAATGTCTATTCAATAAGTGGATCTAAATTTATTGATGAAATCCAAAAACGAAAAGATATTGAATTTGTATTGGAATAAAGAAGATTTACTTGCATTAAGCCCAAATTGATTGTCTATTGTGATGACATTAACAAAAATGCAACCATCCCACTGCCAAATTTAAAAATGTCCTAATTGCTTTAATCGAACTTTTAAGAGATCGATAATTATGTATTCAACATATTAATCTAGATGTCTGAAATTGATGAACTTTCGAACTTTGTAATCCCACAAAAAATGTTTCCAGTTTCGATGCAACCTGCCAAATTTAACCAAAAAAGAAAAAATCATTAAGAAAATCGTGTACCATGAAGAATCCTTATATTAAATAGCATTCATACCACCATCAATAATTGAATCAAATAATGTTAAATACATTGGTTAATATCATTTCTCTATAGCTGACTTTTAGTGTTTAGCTAGCTTTTGTTTCAAAAATTCTATTCAAAACTTCATTAAAAACTATATTGAAATCATCACTCTATCCCCAACCAGGGCATCTGTTAAGGTCAATATTCCTGAACAGTACGATATTGTAGCAGGCCAGCAAGGGTTAGCATGTTCAGAGAATGGTTTTCTATTGAATTAAAATATCGAAACAGAGTTTAAGATTATTTAGACTCCTGCTTCACTAGAATTCTACAATCCAACAACCTTAGAAAAATAAATAAGAATAATTGAAGATAAGGAGTTGTAGTAAATTATTGATTTAAACTTTAATTTTTAATTATGAATTATAAATTTCGTATCAGATCTCTTAAAATTATCCTGACTACTTGCTGCTGACTTTTCAAAATTATCACAATCTTGAATCTCTTCCTGTACTACTTTGCTCTTAGTACATTCATAGTATATCTAAACCTGTGCAAATTTTTAATAATATACTGTTCAAAGCTGTAACAATAGATGCTTCTCTTTTCAAAGCTGATTATTCATATAATTGTTAAGAATTCTCTAAGCTCAAATATGTTTTAACTTGAGTATTATACGGAAACTGCATAAGTTTTATATTATTGAAATTCAATATATTATATTTATTTTGACTAATAATTTTCTGGATTTTATTATAAATTATAATAGAATATAATATAACTCTAGGAATAATTACAGGCTCTACTTAACAACCCTTAGTTAATTACAATTAACAACAGAGAAGCTTAATTCTATGCTATCAACAATAATAGGAAGGAATTGTATTGAAAAATATTGATTCAAAAATTGTTATTAAAATTATACTTATTATTTGAGTTGATTTATTTTACTTATTATAACATTTATCTCAATGATGCGTATTATAAAACATTTCTAATTTATAAATATTCCTTATAATATCTTATTTACATAGTTTTGAAGCTTAAGGGCTGGAATTCTTAAAGATTTTTAGCAATATTAAATTACATTCATTTCAAAAACCATACTAACTTCATATATGTAGCTGATCAATCGTGGCTTCTATCAATTTAGCAAAGTTAATCTTCCAAAAACGATAGGAGTATTAGGATATGGAGCAATCGGAAAAGCCTTCACAGAAGTATTGCTAAACTAACATCCAGGTATAGTTCCTCATTATTATTTACTAGAGGCCAATGTAGTGGCACTTGACAAGTACGATGCATTTTTTCCAAATGAGAAAAGGTTTAAGACTATAATTTAAAAACGAACTAGAGAAAACTTAACACGAACTTTGGATGTTATGGGGTACTTCTATATTCTTAACCTTAAAAATAGCTTAAAGGCAGGAGATACACTAGTTGACTTGTCAACAAATATAGAATTTTCAGAAATTTGGGCACTGTGTGCCAAAAAAGGTGTTCGATATCTGAATACAGCATTGGAAGTGTGGGAAGACAGTGAGGATGCTAATTCATGTCCTGAAAATGCAGAAGAAGCATATAAATTGACATTAGGATATATCAAAGACAATGCCAAGAAATCTCCATTTTGGTCAAATGTAAGATGTTATACTAACTTAGGGACCTACTGCTTTATTAGAAACAGGATTTAATCCAGGAGTTGTATCTCACTGTGTTAAACGAGGTTTGGAGGATTGTGCAAAGCATTATCTTGAGAATCCTCAACAAGATCATGATTTAGGGAATTTAAGAAAATATTTGAAAGAAAAAAATCATTCGAAATTAGCACAAGTACTTGGAGTACATACTATTCATTGCTCTGAAACTGACAATTAATTAATGGCTGAAATACCACAGGATTTAAAAACAAAATTCTATAATACATGGTCATGCAGAGGATTCCTTACTGAAGGACTTGTCCCTATTCAAGTAGCTAGAGGATCTCACGAAGATATGCAAATACCTAATTGCTACACAATCAGAGATGGTAAGACAATAGTCTCAAGAAAACCATCTGTTTAAACTTGGGCTAAGAGTTGGGTGCCTAATGAAGATATTAAAGGTAAATTTACTTTATTTATAATTAGGTGTTTTGATTCCTCATGGTGAAGCTTATTCCATATAAGACTATTTAAGTGATCCAGAGACAGGATACTCGCCGTCTTAATATTATGTTTATGATTATAATCCCTTGGCCAAGGAGTTCATCAGGAACTTACCTCCAAATGCCACCATAGACAATACTCATCCTGAGATGGAAGTTATTCACCCAATGAATCACACATCATTGAAAGGTTGGGATAAAGTTGGAGCACTCTTGATTATGAAGCATAATAGAGCTTGGTGGACAGGGAGTATTATGGATGAAATTGATTGCTCCAGTATGTATAAGGGAATGTTTGGTCCAACTGTCTTATAAGTTGTGGCTGGAGTTTATGGAGGATTCTTGTGGACTTGTTAACATCCTAATATTGGAGCACACTTCTCTGAAGATGTTGAAACTGATGATCTTATTCGAATTGTAAAAAATCTATTACTATACCATTTATAGGGTGAACATCTAATGGGTAGATTCATTTCCATCCCAGTGGATTTGACCAAAACTAAGATTAAGGATTGTTATAAATTGCAAAGCTTTCTATGCCAATAAATTTGATATTACAAATATATACATAATTATTTAATTAAATATCCAAAAATGAGTTTGAGCTGGCTAGTATCACCATAACTTCATAAAACTACAAATGGCTATTACATCAATCACGATAACATCATGCTTGGTAATTTTATACATTTATTTTAGCTGGACCACAAGATAGAAGAAGACTCATTTTTTATTTTATTGCAAGTCAAACCCCTGAAAAAATCACTTAAGAGGATCACAAGAAATTTGTCAAAGAATAAACAATCGATGTCGACATGAGATCAGGCATATTTTCTTTTGGTGGTATCTTCTTGGCTTTAGCAACATTAAGAGAACAATAATTGATTACATCCAGAATTACAAGCAGACCCGTTTTAAATGGTATGTTCATCTTAGGAGTTGGTAATACCATCTAATATACTCATAGGTTTGGTTTCAGCTGCATTTTCTTACAATTTGTCCAAAGTGCTATTCGAACCACTTTTTGTACAAAGAAATCAAGTGTTGTCAGAATTGGCTGAAAAGTATAATTTCTCAGTTTTTGATTTTGCCCTCGCCAAGAAAGAAGCAAGATTAAAATAATTAAGAGCAGAACTCACAAGCGATAGTAGTAACGCTGCTCATTTCTGAAAAATTATATTGCAATATCAATAAAAATATAATTATTATAATGATTAGAAAATTATTTTCGAAAACCCTCCCATTTATTAGACCATAATTCTACATTAACCATATGTATTAATACTCCACCTATTGACATAGCTTTGATACTCAAGATTAGTTTAAGAAGTTTAACAGGACAAGTATCGAGAGTATTAAATCATCTGTGAATCCCTTACCCTCTCCAAGTGAAGAGGCTGGACTTTACATGGAAGAAAATGAAGTAAGAAACTATTCTACAACTCTTAGGTAGATGTGAGATTTTTGAAAGTCTTGAAATCCTTTGAAAAAATAGATGTCAAATAAGTCAATTGGGAAGGAGATTTAAACAAAGATTTAGGCTTAGATAGTCTTGAAAGAATTGCTTTGATCACATCAATTGAGCATGAGTTTACAGCAATCTTTGAAGATAGAGTATTTGATAATTTGAAATCATTGTAAGACATTAAAAACCAGATCTTAAAAGACGATTCAGCATTTTGAATAATATTTTATGAAAAAGAAATTTAAAATCATCCATTTAGCTATTTTCAAGTTTATAACTTCCTTGGTAATTTAGCAAAGCCAAATCTCAATGTTGTAATTTACGTGCCATAAAATTTCCCTTAAGATTGTAAGTTAAACAAATAAAAATATTCTAATAGTTTTATTATATTTCAAAAAGTGATTTTTAACAATAATATTCAACCTTTTTTATTTTTTTATCCTTAATATGAATATTATGATTACTAAAATTTCGATATATCTTTTGATATGAAACTATTGATTGAGGGTTTGCAATCTATTAAAATAGGAAATTCAGTTTGTAATTATTTCTAAATTAAAATAATAAAAAGAAAAAAGAAAACTGAATAATTGAGAAAAACAATAAAAACTATCCACTTATTGTAAACACATAGAATTCAATTTAATAATTCAAAAAATGCATCCTAATTATCTAAAATACACTATTTAATCTCCGACATTCCCTTTATAGTATTATAATTCAAATAACCATGAGATAAGTTTTCATATGTAGTTATTTTTACATCTCTCTGCACAACTCTAGATCATAAATTAAATAAATACTGTAATCTTTAAGCCAATCTAAAAACTTAATCATATAACGGATCTTAATCTCCACAAAACAATCTTGTTGGTGGAAACTATTTTAAAATATCATATGATAATAGTAAAGGACTCATAAACGGATCAATTCCCAATTGAGAATCTGGATGTGCTGAATAGGATTCAATACAAATTCCTAAAATAGTATGACTAAGAATTTTATCATTGATTGACTTCAAATAACTAGGAGTGTACTAGAATCTTATATCAACAGCAGGATAATTCAATATCAACCCATTTGGGATTTGTAATTTATATTTAATAGTTAAGCCAACCAAAGCCGTTGCCAAATTACCACCAGCACTATCGCCTGTAACAATTATTTTATTGGGAACTATTCCAAATGTTTTTTCAGAATAGTTTAATATCCAATTATAAGCTTGCCAACAATCATCAAGAGGTATTGGATAAGGGTATTTTGGAGCTAAACTATAATCAATCGAAAAGATTGGGACGTTTAAATTGATTGACCATTCTCTTGTATAGCATTAATGACTTGATGAAGATTGGGAGATAAAACCTCCTCCATGAATATGTATGATGATCTTATCTTCAATAGTGTTGTTTTGTTTAACGAAAAATGATTTCAAGAAACTAAATATATTATCCTGTTCCACTACATGTTGGTTGTACAATAACCTGATTCGAATTCTGGCTTTATTTTTGATAAATAAGAATTTGTCATCTCTGTGTATTTCTTAGTTCACATATTCAATTGGCTGATTGGAAATTTGATCATAGATTCCTTATCTAATTTAACTATTTGCTTCTTAAATTGTGAGTGGTAGAACAACTGGCAATATATAGAATTTTATGTTTGTAGAAATTTTGGGCAATCCCAAATTGATTAAATGCTTGACTCCAGGTAATTCAATAAAATTCATAGCCTAATATGCAGTATCAGCTTTTAATTAACTCATATGATCTTTCATTCCCTTTTCTGCTGCTGATCTTGATAAGAAATAGTACATTGAATTTAAACTTACTGAAAATATTTTACCCCATTTGCTTGTAGTCTTCTTGCAATCATTTACAAGGGCATGACCAACCATTACTGATTATACAAATTTATCAAATGATTATCTGATTTATTCTGGATCACCTAAAGACTTTATGCTATATATATAAATTATACTTTTCTGGTAGTGATGCATTCTAGTTTCTTCCAAACTGGATGAGTACTACTTAAAGACATAATGTCATTTTTGTCTGTATCTATTGCAGAAGGCATAATTAAATTAAGCATTAGAATTTCTGTCCCAAAAACCTTGATTTCATCAGTTAAGCTTTGAGAAGCAAACATATGTTATTCATGCAATTTTAATTGTTATTGCATCTTAGGCAAGAACTCTGTCTACAGGTAATGGTAGGGAACCTGCAACATTCTTATATTGACATCATCTGCTTTTAGTGCTTTAATTGATCTCTCCTATAAATAATCTAGGTGAAAGGAAACAATACTTTGTTTTAATTCTAAGAGTATCTTGCTTTCTTGTTCTTTGCAGTTTGACAAGAGTTCGTCTACAATCTATAATCCTTTCAAGAGAATAAAAAAATGTCTGTTTGCATTGTTGAATATCCTATATTTGGTTTCAGATTCGCACTTTACAGTTTTGAGTATCTTGATGATGTGGTTCAATTAATCGAGTACTAAAGAATAGATTTTGTATTAATACTATCTCTAGTAGCTTAAAGGCATTATTCTTGGGATTAACATTAATCTGAATTTCTTATTTGAATTTATATCTCAGTAGGAACTTATGCCTGAGATGACTTGTAGCATACATTGTTAAAGAGCGTGTAATCATCTATTTCACTTGTTCTGTCATAATCTGATGAGATAAAATCATTAAGATGAGTTTTAGGAAATTACATAATTAATATTTTAATTTTAGGATCTCTATTTAAGTGTTATTATTAATATGTTATTCTATGTTATGGATTAATTAAGAAGAAATTTTATAGATTTTTTAGAAGAGAAGAGACAGAATCAATAAAAAGTTAAATAAGTGAAAAATATTTGAAAAAGAATTTTATAATTTGTAAGTTGAAAATGCATAACAATTGTTTGATAGATGAGTTATTGAAAACTCTCCAACCTCCCCAAATTAGTTAACATCAAAATAATAAATTCAAACTTTTTTGCTAACTTTTGAATTGAAATCAGAGGAATTTTCTGGATTGATGAAAATAAGCTGTTTAAGAAAAGATTTTATAAACAAAAAAAATTATATATTGAAAGTGATAATAGAAAGCTTGGAAAATAAAAGTCTTTGTAATGAAATGAATAATGAAATAATTGGAATTAATTTAAAGATAATTCTCTTGAATGGTTGATCGTTGTAGAAAAGAAAACTATTTAATAAAATCTGCAAGACTTAATAATAGAAATTAAGCAATAGAAACATCACATCTGCATATAATTATAACAGTAAATATCTTCAAGTTTAAAGTTTAAAGGTGAACTAATTTTAATAGTTAGCAATGTTCTTCCGTTCTATGCTACTTCAAATATCAGATATTATTTTAACTTTTAATTTGATACCCTATCTGATTTAAAAAGAACATTCTAATGTGAAAGATTATTAAACCCTCATATATGTTTTAAAATAACGAATAAAATGATAATGTTAATGACTATCATTTATCCGCTATATACAATAAATATAATGAAAAAAAGTATAAAGGTATTGATTCACTCTTGAAGTGTGACAGAATTGAATAAAAGGCATTTAAGATTTCTTAGAAATTTTTATGGAATGGAAATTTGTCTCTTCTTTCTTACGATGTACATTTATTCTTACTTAGCCTAAATTCATAAGTAATTAAATAAATAAATAAATAAATAACTAAGTATTAATATATATTAAATTAATCTTTGATATTTTTTCAATGCATCCTTCCAGGTTTAAAGCATTTGCTAACCTCAAATATTCTAATATTTAAAAAATAAATNCTTGATGATGTGGTTCAATTAATCGAGTACTAAAGAATAGATTTTGTATTAATACTATCTCTAGTAGCTTAAAGGCATTATTCTTGGGATTAACATTAATCTGAATTTCTTATTTGAATTTATATCTCAGTAGGAACTTATGCCTGAGATGACTTGTAGCATACATTGTTAAAGAGCGTGTAATCATCTATTTCACTTGTTCTGTCATAATCTGATGAGATAAAATCATTAAGATGAGTTTTAGGAAATTACATAATTAATATTTTAATTTTAGGATCTCTATTTAAGTGTTATTATTAATATGTTATTCTATGTTATGGATTAATTAAGAAGAAATTTTATAGATTTTTTAGAAGAGAAGAGACAGAATCAATAAAAAGTTAAATAAGTGAAAAATATTTGAAAAAGAATTTTATAATTTGTAAGTTGAAAATGCATAACAATTGTTTGATAGATGAGTTATTGAAAACTCTCCAACCTCCCCAAATTAGTTAACATCAAAATAATAAATTCAAACTTTTTTGCTAACTTTTGAATTGAAATCAGAGGAATTTTCTGGATTGATGAAAATAAGCTGTTTAAGAAAAGATTTTATAAACAAAAAAAATTATATATTGAAAGTGATAATAGAAAGCTTGGAAAATAAAAGTCTTTGTAATGAAATGAATAATGAAATAATTGGAATTAATTTAAAGATAATTCTCTTGAATGGTTGATCGTTGTAGAAAAGAAAACTATTTAATAAAATCTGCAAGACTTAATAATAGAAATTAAGCAATAGAAACATCACATCTGCATATAATTATAACAGTAAATATCTTCAAGTTTAAAGTTTAAAGGTGAACTAATTTTAATAGTTAGCAATGTTCTTCCGTTCTATGCTACTTCAAATATCAGATATTATTTTAACTTTTAATTTGATACCCTATCTGATTTAAAAAGAACATTCTAATGTGAAAGATTATTAAACCCTCATATATGTTTTAAAATAACGAATAAAATGATAATGTTAATGACTATCATTTATCCGCTATATACAATAAATATAATGAAAAAAAGTATAAAGGTATTGATTCACTCTTGAAGTGTGACAGAATTGAATAAAAGGCATTTAAGATTTCTTAGAAATTTTTATGGAATGGAAATTTGTCTCTTCTTTCTTACGATGTACATTTATTCTTACTTAGCCTAAATTCATAAGTAATTAAATAAATAAATAAATAAATAACTAAGTATTAATATATATTAAATTAATCTTTGATATTTTTTCAATGCATCCTTCCAGGTTTAAAGCATTTGCTAACCTCAAATATTCTAATATTTAAAAAATAAATAAAGAGAATGATCAAAATTACCTATAATCACCTGAGTAAAAAAAGAAAAGTAAAATCTTAGTCGAATCTTGTCCTTTGAGAAAGAAAATCTCAATCTCCTGAGCCTTAATACGAAAATTTTGAGAACTATAATATATATTATGCTGATAATTAAGTATTAAATAACTTAGATTGATTAAATTATTATTTATTAGAAAAGGAAGTATTTTCATCTTACGGAAAATTCTCTAGACTCATCAGTTTTTCTTCCATGTATATATGTCGAATAATATGCACATTTATTGCTAAAATTATAAATTGATTTACAAGAAAAAGCTTTGATCTAAATCAACACAAAGACCATCTTTTAAATCATTATCATCATAAATGCAAGAACCACTACATCAACATATAGATATACATCAATTAAGTTTCATCATAAACTTGCAATTTCAATACCCACTCTCCCTTTCTCTTACCTGATGAATATTCTCCTTCAGATAAGGTGAAGCTAGATAGCAGGCAATTCCAACTTAAATCGCTCCATTTTTTATCTTTATTTCCATAAACATCATATGTACCACTAGCGCTTCAATATTTGATTAAAATATTACATAATATCTCCTTGTTAAAATTACATATCCTTCGATATCTGCCATGACCCTTGCTTAACTCCTGATTTATACTGTCCTAACTAATATAATTGAAAGAATCTGCCATTTTTAATTTCTATTTTACTCCCAAAAATTTTCATGAGGCTCCAGCCATTCTCCATTTTTATTTCCGCAAGTATCATATAATCCCTTTCCGCTATAAAATCAACAAACTTTTTACATAACTGAGAATTCATTCGTTTTATGAGCTCTAAATAAAATTTCAGATTTTCCAACCTTATAACCAACATGATAATCTATTTTCTATATTATTTAGCGAGATCTGAAGTAATTCTTATAGTTACCTACAAAATTTTTGATCAATGTCTATCCACTATCCATTTTTAACCCCTTTTTCATAAAAACCACCTCCACTATGCTTAATATTAAACTTTACATTCTAATGAATTCTTGATCAGTGAATTCACGAAAATTAATAGCCCAATCACCCTATTTTAATCCATTTTAGTATTGCCCTTTTTTTGTAACTTGGCAAAAGCTTATGTTATTATAAAAAATACTCTCTAAATTTCTCGTGTAACTCATTCCAATTCCCATCTTTTTTTCCTTATGCATTATAATACCCTTCTCCTCTAATGCCAATAATAAATATTAATTAACATTTAAACAAATTAAGAACCATGAATTTTGCGATATTCAATAACAGTTCTTCCAACTTTTTTCCCATTCTGATATTAAACTATTTCTCTAACTTGACAGGAACTATTAATGAAATTTTAAGGTTACTCTGAAAAACTGTCATATAATTCTTTCCATACCCCAGATTTCAAACCATGTTAGTCATAGTCTCCCCCTCCTCTAATTGATATCAACAGTCAATCTTACATGATTTCGAAGCCCTTACTTTCACTGTATCTATATTTTGCAATCCATTTTCCAGTTTTTTTCATATTTTTATAACTACCTTCAAGGATAATTTGAGAATCTCTCAAATTTAATATAATTATACTCTGCAAAATTCTCAGATAGCTCCTTCCAATCTTCAATTTTGTCTCCATTATTATCATAGTTTCCTCCTCCACTAATATTCTATTAAACTATACATTTCTTCAATTTTATCTTCTTTGTTTAGTCGAAGAATTAACTTTTTTTTAAATATAATTTTCCAAAATCCAAATTTCTTTCCCTTTTCATATTTTCCGCTCTAAAAAATATCACAATTCCTATCATAAATAAAATAACAACTATTGATAATTTTTGCATGGTTCATTCCATAAACCAATTTTTCTCCCTTTTTGGTCGTATTAGCCTTATCCTCTAACCTTTATTCTCGATTATGAAATGCTACAAAAATTAGGGAAATCTTTTGAGCTTTATATTACCCATTCACCAATCCTTATTCCATCTTTATATGTCCCTTTATAAATCAATTAATTCTATCTAAAGATTAAATTAATAATTATTACTCACAAAAGTCTTCAATTAAATCTTACCAAATCCCCTATTTAATTCCCACATTATCATAATTACCGCTCCCACTAGACTGATTCAAAAAAATACATAATTTTATTATTTTTTGTTAAAATTTCCACCCATTTAACAAACCATAATCCTATTTTTATACCGTTTTGATATTCCCCTATTTCCAATATCATAACACCTCTTATATAGCATAAAATTAATTTACCCTTATAGAATATCCTTTAATTCAGTCCATTTTCCATTTTTCAATCCGTTGGAATCGTATGACCCTCCTCCTCTAAATGGATAATTTAATAAAAATTACAGCACTGAGTTTTATGAGATAATTTTCCATTCCCCTATTCTTTTTCCTAAATCATACTAACCAGAAAACAATATTTGTTGTTTCCTTTTTTAATCACGATATTTACAAAATGAGTTCTAGCTTCTGATTTATCCACTTATTTTCTGAAAATTAGTAATCATCATATATGTAGTTATAGCTTATTAAAATATATTTTTCTTACATCTATTTAAAATATCCATTAGATTCCAAAAAGTAAATATCTAAATCCTAAACTTATTTGCAGTTTTTATATAATATATTCCACTGGAATTCAGAAAAACTTTATAATATCAATATCAGAATATTTACCTCATCTAATCATATTGCTCAACCCAAGCGCCTACTTGCCTCCCTTATTCATCATATGATCCACCACCACTACAAGAGATTATATCAAAATATCTACATTTTTTTCCACATTTAACTGGACGTTTTTCTTAACTTAATATCAAATTAGTGACATTTAATCCCGTTATTAAATTCTCCCTCAAGAACAACCTAGTTTGATCTATCGAAATTTAAAGGTTAATAAACTTGCAAAAATTTTTTGATATTTTTATCCATTTTCCATGTTTTTATCCATTGGCGTTATAAAATCCCCCTCCGCTAATTCATTTATGGGAATCTATACATTATTTTAAAGTCCGAGTCAGATTCATCTCTAAACTTAATAAAGAAATCCCCATTTTTTTTTCCTTGGTAATATTACCCAAAACAAATAACTTAACTTCCACTTTAATCAAATATATAATTTTACTCCTGATTTTTTCTGAGTTATTTAAAATATGGAATTTGATCAGGATACATGCTACAATACTAAACTAAATTTACTTTGGAAAATAAAAGTCATTTAAAACCAATTTTTTGTATGAAAGTAAATAACTATTAAATTCTTCACTATTTTATATTTAGCTTTGTAGAAATTTATTATAAATAATACCATTCAAACACCCTATCTTTAAATTTCATAAAAGCGATAGTTTCAAGTTGCCCTTAGCTTACTTATGCCGCTTGTGGATCCCTTAAGCCAAATAATATTTTTCTCAAATCTGCTATCAAATTATTTGAAATTTATTTGACTTATCCTTGTTCTATCATTATTACTTTTCCTTCCTTTTGGAATTTAAGAAATATTGTTTAGACTAAACATTTATTATTACAGTATTAATAAATTTGAATCCTCCAAATACCAATGGGTTTGCTACCATTTATTTTTCCGACCTTTAAAATTATTATTTTTTTCTACGTAATACAATTAATCTCCATGTTGAATGTAAGAGTTTTTATTTTATTATGTTTCTGGTTATAAATGTGATGAACAGCTTGAATAATTTTATATCGATTATTCATTTTATTTGCTTCCTGAGTTTTGAAAGGAAACATAAGTATAAGATTGCCAAATACAATTTTAAACAAGATTATTAATGATCTCTGATTACTTTTTGTTTTATTGCATTCCTTCGTAACAACTCAATTTGAGATTTATTTGATTTAATTAATATAAAAGTATATTTTTAATTCAAATATATTAAGCTTTTATTTTAAAAAGAATTCTATTATTATGAAGCTACATATCCATAATATAAATGAAGATTAGAGTAGAGCAAAGTCAGAAAACCAAATGAGGGTGGAAAATGATTTGAGTGAACTATCTATAAATGAGAACGAAAAAGAATTCAATAAATTCATAAGCAATTACTAATCATTAATTTCATATTGCACAACTCTACAGAAATACATCTGCCACCTTGGCAAGAAAAAAGGTTTTGTTATACTTTAAAATATGTCTTAGAGCTTTCTAAAGATAATTAATTATTGGGATTTTGTAAAGAAGTTTTTGCAAAAATTAAGGAAATTAATGAAAGATTTGATCAATTGAATATGAACCTAAATCTATCGTAAGATATTAATGAAGTAAACTTGGAATATTAATGACTAGATGGATAAAATAAAGAATAAAAATGATAGTCTTCTTACATTATTTAGTTAAGCAAAAGAATTATACTCAAAAGAGAAAAAAACAGAGGCTTTCTAAAAATTTACAGAAGTTTTGAGAATAAATCCAAATTTTATAGATGCTAGAATTTACCGAGGTATCATATTATGACTAAAAAAAGGAAATTTGAGTTTGGATGTTAACAACACATTTTATGCCTAATTTGACTTTGAAGAAGCTTTAAAATAAGACAAATATAATTTAAAAGCTTTAAAAGGAATAAGTAATTGCTAATGCTAAGCTTAGCTATCGCTTTTAAAATGTAATGTAACTATGAACTAGGGTTGAAGTATGCATTGAAGGTCATAAAACACGAGCCCAAATCGCCAATAGGTAACTTTAATGCAGGTATTTGAATTGAAATAAAAGCCGACTGTTTGAAATTTTTGGGATAATATAATGAGAATACTCTACGATACATAAATTAAGCCATAGACTAAGAAAAAAGAAGGTTCGAATAAAAACTGCAAGTTTATTTTAGAAATAAGGGTAATCTGGTGTTCTATTTAGGGGAAATACTATTTGGATTAAACAGAGAAAGTGAGGCCAGAGAATTTGTATTGAAAGCACTTGAATTAAATCAAAACTATGAATTAGCTATAAAAACATTAAGTAAAGCACTTATCAATTTAAATTAGAGAGATTTGATGATATTTCATAAAGGAGAATAAATACTTGATTTTAAAAATACAAATAGAAAACTATTTTAATCATTTAATATTTTATTATATTATTTTTCTAAAAGCAATAATTGAATAAAGAAATATATATGTAGCATCAATTTTCAAACCTTGCCTGCAAAAATAATCATGATTAACCAATCACAAAAGTTAGATTGGGAAAGCAATTAACTTAAACAGATAGATTCCTTTGTGATTTATGCAATGAACAATAACCAAATGAATAAATTTTGGATATTACATTAGTTTAATAAATAATCAATGATTTTAAGAAAAAACAACAGGAATCAAAAGAACTCTTTTTACGTTTTAAATCAAAACAAATATATAGAGTTGAAAGTAATGTTTCTACATTGATATCCTCACTCATTTAAATATTAAAGGAATTATAAAAAATTACTGAAAATTGGAAGTATTATATAGAATCAATTGATCAATAAAATTGCCCTTCAGATTTCAAATTAGATGTTGATAATTTAATTTTCAACAAATGGGATGACGAATTAAAAGAATATTTTGTAAATATTGAAGAAAAAAATCTGAATTGGATCTAAAAAATCTAATCCAAATTAAATCTATTTTGCAATTTCTAAGAAATTGAAAATTGCAAATTAATTTTATAAGAATCAATAGTTCTTGATGACATTTCTCCTGTCAGAGTTAAAGATAATTCAATCTCTTTAGCATTAATATACAATTCGTCCTTTCAAAATGAAACTTGCAATGCAATTTCCATAAATAGAACAGGTAAACTAATTGCAACATGCAAAGAGTATAACATAACAATTTGGGATTTTGTTGATGGAAAAATGAAATCTTTAACATAATTAGATAGGCACAAAGATTATGTAAGTTGCTTAGTTTTTAGTAAAAAAGTAGATTCCTTAATTTCTGCTTCATATGATAAAACCATCTTCTGCTGGAAACAATTAGATAAAACTAAGTGGATTTGTTCGCAATTACATTTCTAACATACAGGGCCAATAAACTGCATATTATTAAATTAAAATGAAAACTAGCTTATAAGTGGGAGTTCCGATCAAAAGATAATAATATGGGATGTTGATTTAAATCAAAACAAACTAAATTATTCATACCCATTATAATTAACAGCTGGTGATGTTGAAGGTTTAACAATGAATAAATCTGAAACAATTTTAGTATCATGCTAGAATAATAAATCTATTATAATTTGGAGTAAAGGAAATGATGAAAAATGGAAATTTCAATCAACTGTTACAAAACTTGTCTAAGAATTTGGATCAAGAATTAGTTTTTTGAATGACAACTAATTTATCTGGGTATCAGGAGAAAGAGAAAGCTTGGATTGTATTTGTGTGTTTTATAATAATAATGGGTAATTTTTCGAAAATTAATAAAAGAGAATAAAATTATTAAAAAATAATAAGGAATTTGATTTTCACTTGTTTCCGATATGTTATAATTAAGAGAAAAAGATAATGATCGTCAAACATAAAATAAGAATATATGTACTAAGGTAATATCCAGATGATGAAATCAAAATTGCAGGAGTTATTACTTGTAAATCTACTAGAATTTTTGGATCATTAACTAACGATGGATAGTTTTTAGTTTATTGGGATGCTAATGGAAGCAATTCTGGAGGTGGTTAATATTATATCTATAAAATTTGAAATTTTATTGAAAAATTAATTTTTAATTCTTAAGTATTTTTAATTAATCAGCAGTTCAAAAAATTCTTATTACGACATTCTGGACTAATCCTCAAGACAGAATTCATTAGATATTGTTGGAATATGCACTTCAAAGTATTTTCTTTTTGAAATCACCTTCACAGTATGATTATGGTATTTCTGACTCGATAATTCAAACTTTTCAAAGATATTTTTTTTAAAATGCATTTTTGGAAATTTCTTTATGAGAAATCTTTTTGCTAACCTTTAGTTAATGATTAGGATCATTAGATAGGAATAAAGTTGGAAGAAGGTTTTACTAAAGTAAATAGATCTTAAATTATTGTCCTAGATTAAAAACCCTAATTTTGAACTTGAAAATATCAATACCGATCTTACTCTTAAACGTCTAAAATTACTATTGTTTGTTCAATTTTTATGCTTTAATGAAAAGATAATGATAGAAAACATTTTGATATCATAAATTCAAATTTAAATTCTATCTTTCTCAATATATTTTTTAAGAATCTACTAAATAGAAATCAGACTTTAATTTTTGTTAAACATAGGCAGTGTATAAACTATCTAAGAATTATTCAAAAAAAATAATTTTCAAAGACCTTAATTTTTTTATTTTTCTACCAAAATTTTAAGCATTCATATCGTTTGATATTATTTATGCTATCCATCTTATTTTTATCTATTGATTATTTCCTCTATTAGTTGTCTTATTATTTGTCTCGTCAACTAAAAACCCTTCCTTTTAATTTAACTTCAGCTTATGCTAAAATATAATTGCATTCATTTACATGATTGATGAATTACAAAATAGATCATATATATGTAGATCGAATATATTAATAAATTACTCTGAAATAAATCTAGCTAATATTTAATTGAAATATTTATTATTTATGACCAAAATCTAGATATAAATTTGTATTCTTTTAAGTGATAAATTTGAATTACATAAATTCTAATAGTTTCATAAATAAAGAAAACAATTAATGAACATTTTTTTTTTTAAATAATTAAAAAATAAGGAAATAGGTTAGTTTAGGTAAATTGATAGTCTTAGAATATTTATACTAAAATGGGTAAAAACTAAACAACTGAAATGAAATAATTTTGATATGATATGGACTATATTTATGACAATTCATAATTGTTATAATTACTTTTGTATTAAATCTTATTCTGGTGATCCTAGTTGCAATGCAAGCATATAAAAATATTTAGCTTCAGATTTCCTTTCTAATTCGACTAGTGAATCAGCTTAAACTAATAATTAATTCATACCTCTGAGTTTTAATGTAAAAGGATTCATAGTTATAGAAAGGGCTTTGTCCCAACACATAGAAGATTGCTAATATTTTTTTAATCTATGTAGTGCAAGTCCTATTTTACAAATTAATTTACCCTTATTGTTCCATGCAACATAATCATTTGGGTTTATAGAAAGAGCTTTGTCGTAGCATATAACAGCATCTTAATATTTATGTAAATTGGATAATGCGAAACCTAATTTAACAAATTTGAAGTTAATACCCTTATTGTGCCATGAATGATTATCATTCGGATTAATAGAAATTGCTTTTTCGTAACACACAATAGCTTCCTAATACTTATGTAAACTGTCTAATGTGAAACCTAATCACAAAATTTGAAGTTTATTACCCTTATGATGCCATGCATAATCATTATTACAATTAATAGAAAGAGCTTTGTCGTAGCACATTAGAGCATCCTAATATTTATCTAAAAAATCTAACGCCTAACCTAAATATATATATTTGGGTGTGAATTACCTTTATTGTTCCATATCTTATCATTATTAGGATTTATAGAAAGAGCTTTTTCATAGCACATAATAGCATCTTCATATTTATTTAATTTGAATAATGCTTAACCTAAATTTAAATATTTTGAAGTTTATTACCCTTATTGTTCCATATGCTGTCACTATTAGGATCTAAAGAAAGAGCTTTATCATAACACACAATAGCTTCTTAATATTTATTAATTTAGGTTAATAAAAATCCTAAAATCAATATTATAAGCTTAATACCCTTGGTATTCCATATATGATCATTTTTTGGATTTAAAGAAAGAGCTCTGTCATAACACACAATAGCTTCTTAAATTTTATTAATTTAGGCTAATAAACCTCCTAAATATAAATATTTTAATTGATTACCCTTAGTGTACCATGCTTGCTCAAAATTAGGATTTATTGAAATAGCTTTTTCGTAACACTCCATAGCTTATTAATACTGATTTAAATTCTGTAGTGATTAGCCTAAAAATTAAATTGAAATTTAATACCCTTATCACACCATGCATTATAAAAATTAGGATTTAAAGTAATAGCCTTGTCATAACACACAATAGCTTCTTTATCTTTTTTAATTTGGCTTAGTGCAAATCCTAAATACAAATATTATAAAGTTTATACCCTTTTTGCACCATGCATCTTCGAAATTAGGATTTATAGAAAGACCTTTGTCGTAGCACACAATAGCTTCTTAATATTTATTAATACTCGTTAATAAAAATCCTAAATGGCGATATTTAGAAATTTATTACCCTTATTGCACAATGTGTGATAATAATTAGGATTTATAGAAAGAGCTTTATCGTAGCACTCTATAGCTTCTTTATATTTATTTAATTTGTGTAATGTGAAACCTAAATAAACTTGAAATTTATACCTTTGTTGTTCAATGAAAGAAAATCATTAGGATTTATAGAAATGGCTTTGTCATAACACTCAATAGCATGCTAAAATTTACTTAGCCTGGATAGCGCTTAACCTAAATAAAATAATTGAAGCTCATTACCCTTATTATACCATGTATTATCGTTATAAGGATTTAAAGATAGAGCTTTATCATAACATGCAATAGCCTCTTAATACTAATTTAAACTGCCTAATGTCAATCCTAAATAAATTTATTTGAATTTATTACCCTTATTGTACCATGTATGTTCATTATTAGGATTTATAGAAATTGATTTTTCATAACACTCAATAGCTTCTTAATATTTATTTAAAGTGAATAATGTGAAGCCTAATTAAGTTTGAAGTTTATTACCCTTATTGTAATATACATTACCATCATTAGGATTTATTGAAATAGCTTTGTCGTAGCAAACAATTGCTTCTTGATACTAATTTAAATTGTGTAACGCATAACCTAAATTATACCAACTAAAACACTACCTTTGCCAATGTAAGCATCGTAATCTTCATCAAATAATTTGATTGAGTTATCAAATGTACTTAATGCCTCCATAAATTTTCCTTAATGAATTAATTCTTAGCCTATTTGAGTATATAAATTTTTTTAACCTTATTCAGAAAATCTTTTTGCTTTTTATTTTTTCTATTTTCTCTATTTTTTTTTTTTTTCCTCTTATTCTTCGCATTTCTAACTTATTACTTTACTTTCAGTTGTATTTTCAATGACAATATTCTCTTGAGTATTTAACTTAGGTTAAGCAGGCACCATAAATTTGATTGTATCAAGAAATTTATTGAATTCTATTATTTATTACTCTTTTAAAATTAATAAGTTGAATACATATCGAATTTTCTTTCTCCTTTGAGTAAAACTGTTTGATTATATTTATCTCAGATTTAAAAGTTAAATACTCGTTGTTTAAAAGTTTCTAATTCATATTCTATAATAGTATAATCTCTTGATCCATTTATTTTTAAATCTACTCAAAACAATTCTTCATTTGATGGATGGTTTCTTTGATTTATTTATTGGATTCTTTGTAAACTTATATGAATTAATTAATAAGTTAGCTCATTGTGGCAAATCGAATGCAATCACTTAAATGATCTGAATGAGTCTAAGTCAAGCATTAATAACAATATTAGGTTGCTTTTTAGCAATTCTAATTCAAACAAAATCCTATTATTTCTTCGTTTTCATGATTTACATATCTACATTTAAAGATTTCCATTTTAATCTTAATTGATAATTAATAAATATATTGTATTCATCGAATCCTATTGAACTTTAAAATCTAATATAATCAAGAATATCAAACCTTTTTAAAATAATAAAGCTTATTGAGTGTTTCGAATTTTAAAGGAGATAAAGTAAATACTTGTATGCATAGCCTTAGCACCTGTTTAATAATACATTGATGAGAAAGGCACGCTTTATTTACATAGAAATATCTCTATATTTTTCAATTTATATCAGGCAATTCATATATTTATATGAATTGCATTTTTAGAATTTAATTTTCTTAAGCTTTAGATTTTTGAAAAGATGGTATACCTTAAAAACTTGGCTATTCTTTTCACTTTCATCGTTAGAGATGCGATTGTATGAAGTGGCATTCGAATTGAAGAACATTTTAGAATTTATTACATGAAATTAACTCTTAGTAAAAAATTGTAGAATACTCTTTAGACAATCAAAATTGGATGATCTTGCGAATTGTTGAGAATTAGACTAATTTATATCGAAAAACTTCATAAAATCAATATCATGAGCATTACAACACCAATAAATAGTTGATCTTTGGTGGGATAACAAAAATTAAACAGTATTTTTGATCGAACAATAGGAAATGAAAGAAAGTGATTAAAAATCACCAAATTATATAAATAAGGAGTTACTTAATAGCAATTATCTAAAGATTAATTTATTATGTTAAACTCTAGAGGTGATATTGTTATATTTTTGACTATTTTATCTTCATACAAATGTATAGATAGTATTGTTAAATAAATAAAATTTCATAAGAAATTACAGGTGTGAATCATCGTATTATATTTTATATACATCAAATGAAATATACTAAAGTCACCCCCAACTTGTGTTGTACATCAGTTGCCCGCCCGNTAACTTAGGTTAAGCAGGCACCATAAATTTGATTGTATCAAGAAATTTATTGAATTCTATTATTTATTACTCTTTTAAAATTAATAAGTTGAATACATATCGAATTTTCTTTCTCCTTTGAGTAAAACTGTTTGATTATATTTATCTCAGATTTAAAAGTTAAATACTCGTTGTTTAAAAGTTTCTAATTCATATTCTATAATAGTATAATCTCTTGATCCATTTATTTTTAAATCTACTCAAAACAATTCTTCATTTGATGGATGGTTTCTTTGATTTATTTATTGGATTCTTTGTAAACTTATATGAATTAATTAATAAGTTAGCTCATTGTGGCAAATCGAATGCAATCACTTAAATGATCTGAATGAGTCTAAGTCAAGCATTAATAACAATATTAGGTTGCTTTTTAGCAATTCTAATTCAAACAAAATCCTATTATTTCTTCGTTTTCATGATTTACATATCTACATTTAAAGATTTCCATTTTAATCTTAATTGATAATTAATAAATATATTGTATTCATCGAATCCTATTGAACTTTAAAATCTAATATAATCAAGAATATCAAACCTTTTTAAAATAATAAAGCTTATTGAGTGTTTCGAATTTTAAAGGAGATAAAGTAAATACTTGTATGCATAGCCTTAGCACCTGTTTAATAATACATTGATGAGAAAGGCACGCTTTATTTACATAGAAATATCTCTATATTTTTCAATTTATATCAGGCAATTCATATATTTATATGAATTGCATTTTTAGAATTTAATTTTCTTAAGCTTTAGATTTTTGAAAAGATGGTATACCTTAAAAACTTGGCTATTCTTTTCACTTTCATCGTTAGAGATGCGATTGTATGAAGTGGCATTCGAATTGAAGAACATTTTAGAATTTATTACATGAAATTAACTCTTAGTAAAAAATTGTAGAATACTCTTTAGACAATCAAAATTGGATGATCTTGCGAATTGTTGAGAATTAGACTAATTTATATCGAAAAACTTCATAAAATCAATATCATGAGCATTACAACACCAATAAATAGTTGATCTTTGGTGGGATAACAAAAATTAAACAGTATTTTTGATCGAACAATAGGAAATGAAAGAAAGTGATTAAAAATCACCAAATTATATAAATAAGGAGTTACTTAATAGCAATTATCTAAAGATTAATTTATTATGTTAAACTCTAGAGGTGATATTGTTATATTTTTGACTATTTTATCTTCATACAAATGTACTAAAATCAATTATAAATTAAAGTTAAATTAAAATTTGATTGTTCTTTAAGTTTAGTATTTAAATAAACTTCTGATTGAATTTCATTAAAAATTTTAGGAACTACATACTTTTAAGAAGTTCTATGATTTTGGTTTGTGTTAAACAGAATAATAAGAATAAATAAATACTTCAAATTTATATTATAATTAGACTAAAGATCTTTATTTCAAGATAATTAACCTTAAGGATTTCATTAATATGTGAACATTTATTACTGTTTTTTCTGTATTATATTAGCGAAATCCAAACTTATTCAAAACTGTCTATTTCTGAACATTTTTAAATATTAATCTTTTAAAAATGCTAAGCATAAATCCAAAGAAGTTCCTATTTCTGCATTAACTCTGACTAAATATGTTCTACTTCAAATCATTCAGTAAAATAATAATTTTGTCCTCTGCTCGTTGCAGTATTCATTTAATTATTGCAAATCTTAAATATGCACAACAAACTCGTTCTTCAAAAATATTCTATACTTAATTTTCTTTTTGAAAATGATAGGTTGAAATGCTTCATTATTTTTATTGATTTTTAATTAACTTCGAAATCCATATTTTATTTGCCAACTTAACGGTTTTTTAGATATCGTTCTTTATCAATATTCCTTCTTTGAGCTACTTCAGCATTATCAAATAAAGTAGTCTCTTGCTAAATAACAGCGTTTATATGCTTATTCTTGATTTAAAACAAAAAAATTAAAATAAATATTATAAAACATTGAAATTTCAAGAGTGTTCAATTTACCAATAAATTAATTTTTTTAAGAATCAGGTTATCAATTACAAACCGCTTTCACTTCTATACGTTTAAATTTAAAATTAGTAAAAACGTTTTACTACTTATTTATAACTATCAATTTTATTATAATCAATTTTAACTTTCAAAAATGCAGCTTCCTTTGGATTTGAATAATGACTTTAGATCTAGACCTTAAGAATTTACAAATTCTCCTTTCAAGATTTAAGCTCCTTAAGCTTCTAAAATGAGATTTTAGGAAATTGTAAGGATAGTAATATTAGAGTTAACTACACATAGCGAAAAATAAATACCACTTTGGGGGAGAACTTTGTTTATTAATATTTAGGTTTAAAAGTTCGCTAGAATATCTTTGTAACGATTATTCTATGGTAAAATTTATTGTCCTGTCTGAACGTCCCATAAACCGACAGAGTTATCTAATCTACCATAGCCAAATTTAGCCTTAAAAGTAGGGAAACAGTCTATTAAAACTGAATTTGAATGACCATCTAATTTACCATTTTATTATCCTGTCTGAATATCCCATAAACGAATAGACTTATCTGAACTACCAGATGCTAATAGAGTACCTTCAGGAGAGAAACAGACTGAATTAACATCATTTGAATGACCATCTAATCTGGCTTTTTATTATCCTGTCTTAACATCCCATAAACGGATGATTTATCTGCACTACCAGAAGCTAATGTAGTACCATCAGGAGATAAACTAACTGACATGACCTCCCTAGTATGACCATCAAATTTAGCTTTTTATAATCCTGTTTTAATATCCCATAAACGAATAGACTTATCCTTGCTACTAGATGCTAATGTAGTGCTATCAGGACAGAAACAGACTGATAGAACTAAATTTTCATGACCATCTAATTTAGCTATTTATTATCCTGTCTTAATATCCCATAAACAGATAGACTTATTATTACCATATGCTAATGTTGCTCTATCAGAGGAGAAATGGATTGATTTAACATCGTTAGTAATACCATCAAATTTGCTCTTCTATTATCCTGTCTAAACATCCAATAAAAAGATTTCTGACTTACTACCAGATGCGAATGTAGTACCATCAGGAGAAAAGCAAATTTAGTAAACTTAATGTGAATGACCATCTGATTTGGTTTTTTATTACCCTATTTAAACATCCCATAACCGGATAGAGTTATCCCAACTACCAGATGCCAATGTATTACCATCAGGTGAGAAACATACTGACACGACTTCACTAGTATGACCATCTAATTTGGCTTTTAATTATCCTCTCTTGACATCCCATAAACGGATAGACTTATCAGCACTACTAGATGCTAATGTAGTGCCATCAGGAGAGAAACGAACTGAATAAACCCAATTTAAATGTCCATCTAATTTGGCTTTTTATTTTCCTATCTTAACATCCCATAAGCGGATTGAATTATCAGTACTGCTGGATGCTAATGTAGTACCATCAGGAGAAAAAGAGACTGACATTACTTCCATAGTATGACCATATAATTTGGCCTTTTGTTATCCTGTCTTAACATCCCATAAAAAAATTTCTTAATTACTACCAGATGCTAAAATAGTACCATCAGGAGAGAAACACACAGCTAAAACTGAACTTACATGACCAACTAATTTGATTTTTGATTGTCCTGTCTTAACATCCCATAATAGGATAGAATTATCACCACTTCCAGATGCTAATGTATTACCATCAGGAGAGAAACAGACACAATCAATATAACAAGTATGACCAGCTAATTTAAATTTTAAGTTCCCTTTTTTAAGATCCCATAAATATATAATTTTATCACTGGCAAAAGCTAATGTGGTGCTATTAGAGAAACATACTGACATTAACCCACCCTCTCCTTTTAAAATGGACTTAATTTCTCTTGTATTCATGTTCCACAAACAAATAGATTTATCAGCACTACAAGAAGCCAATGTCTTACCATCTGGAGAAAAGCAGACCTAATAGACATCATCTCTATGGCCATTTAACTTAATTCCCTCATTAATACCTAAATTCTTCCATTTACAATTAAATAATTTGGCTCCATTCAAATTCATACCACTTATTCGAACATTGTCAAATTCAGACCCACTTAAGTCACACCTTGCTAAATTTGCTCCTAACAGTGAAGTATTTCTAATTCTAATATTTTCAAAACTTTATTTCTTCAAATCAACCTTTATTTAAATTAATAAATGAAGAGAATTTGATCCACACTATATATACCTCTCATCCAAGGCTGTAAGATGAACTAAAAATCTGAGTAATTCTATGACATTTTTATCTTAGGATATTTTTTTGATCAGATCATATTTAATTTCTTCATATTTATCTAATGAGTAATTCTGTTCATTAAAATCATGATCCTTAATTTTTTTTAGAATATTTGTTATCTTCTTGATGTCATTCCTTCCAACATTTAGCATCTCTTCTACCAATATTATTTCTTATTCGTATTGCTATTGATTTTGAATTTATTAGAGAAATTCTAGACAATCTTAAGTTTTCTTTCTTTTCAATATTTTCAGAAGAGTAGGTAAGACTACTACATCAATAGCATTAGATAATACCAAAATCCCATACAAATCTTCATTCTACACTTTATTGCATTTCATTTCCTTTTTTAAAAATAATAATGAATTTCTAATACTTTATTTTGAGTTTTATATTTTAAACACACATTTATCTAAGGATTAAATTGTATTTACTTCTCTTTAAAAACACTCAAAAAAAACTTAAAATATATATAGTTTTAAGAACTCCAATTTTTGGATTGACATGAGATTTAATAGGTGATAAAATAGGAGATGAAAAGGGATGCAATTTAAAATATAACTTCAAACATAAGTTTATTTGGAATGAAAAAATTACTCAAATCAAATCAACATTCAAAACCTATTTTACTCAATTACCATCTATTTCTAGATTAAATGTACAGAAAATTATGAGAAAAATCCAAACAATTTTTGTGATTATATATTTAT